GTGTGTGTGTGTGTGTGTGTGTGTGTGTGTGTGTGTGTGAGAGAGAGAGACAGACAGACAGACAGAGATTACAATTGCTAATACACTCAGGAGCCAGATAGGGGATGTGTACACACAAACTCCACACATAAAGGGAGGGTGTACACACACAGGTAGACGTATAGAGTGAGTGTGTACACATCACACACACATTTGTACCCACAGATACACACACCATCAGAGTACACACACACATACAGGGAGTGTACATGGGCCTCATTTGGTGGTGTGTAAGTGCTGTCGAGTCGAGTATAACTCACAGGGACCCCGTCCAGGGCCATCCTCACAATCTCCGACACACTCTGCAGTGACTGTGTCAGTCCACCTGACTGAGAGTCTTCTTCTCCTTCACTGCCCCTTCTCCTTCCCAAGCATCATGTCCCTCTCCAAGGAATAGCGCCTCCCAGCAACATGCTCAAAATATGCAAGACAAAATTTTGTCATCTTTGCCTCCAGGGAGCGCTCTGGCTGCGTCTTCTCTGAGACATACCTGTTTTGTTCTCTTGGTGTCCATGGGATCTTCAGTGCTCGTCTCCAACACCACAGCTCAAAGGCATCAGTTCTTCTTCCGTCATCCTTATTCATTGTCCAGCTCTCAGTTGCACCCTAGTCCTCAAACTGATATCATTGCTCCTCAGTCATATGGAGAGGTCCCTGACGGCAGACTTCCCCAGTCCAGTATGTTTTCTGATCTCGTGACTGCTGGTACCTAGTGTATTGATTATGGATTACATTTGTAGTCACACACAAAGATGTAGGTACAGTTAGACACTGTACACACACACACACAGACATACATCCCATGCACCTCTTCTCACCCACATTTACCCAGCTCGTGAGCTGACACCCCACACGTGCACATCAGCTTACAGACTCAGTCTTGTGCAACACACCTTTGTTCTCTGTGAAACCAGATGCCCAGGCTTTTCTTCTCCCTCATCTTCTCTCCGGGTCCTCAAGGACACCTGGGATCTGCTCTCTGCAGCTCCAAAAAGTCTGACTCAGGCAGAATGAACATAAACATGGCTCGGGGCTGTGGTAGCACCCCCCCCCCTGCCCCCCAGGGGCCCAGGCCTCAGCCAGAAAACACGTCAGCGAGTGGCAGACCCAGGCTCAGAACGGCCCCATCCCAGCAGCCCCAGAGCTCAGGCAGCCTGCTCCCACCCACCTCGGGGTCCCCAGAGGGTCCCCCTGAATCAGTGACACTCCCCGACTCAGGACACCTGTGCCTGTCTGTGGCTGAGGTGGTATCTCTGCCAGTGGCCAGGGCAGATGTCAGGTTTTGTTCTTTTCATCAGTTCTGAGTGATCACGTGGCTTTTCCAACAATTGGGCCCCCCCTTTTTTTCTTTCTTTTTTTTTTTTTTAAATTTGTTTATTTATTTATTTTTCATTTCAGTGAACATCTACAGAGATTTTGGAATTCTATTCATTCATTGTTGCACCCTTCTCCCCGCCCACCCCGCCCTCCCCCAATTGGGCCCTTTTGATGTGTGAAGACGCCACGTTTGTAGCCCCTGAGTGTCCACCTGAGCTTCTGAGTGTGGCCCCGGGAGTGAAGCCTGGACCATTGGCTCCACTGGCCTGCTATCTCGAGGGTCTTCCTGTCTCATTTGTGTGGTTCTGCCTTTACCACTTGGTGTCACATCAGGGTTCACTTCTGTACAATGGGAACATCAGCGTTCTTCCCCTCCCCGCCCCCCCCAGGTTGGGAGACAAGGTAGCTGGGCAGCTGAGAGCGGGCGTGGGGCTCGGCCTGTTTCCTCCTCTATTCTGCTCCCGACTCTACCCGCCCTGGGAGCGCACACTCCATCCTGGGACTCTGGGGCCTGTCAGGGGACGGCGTTGCTGAGGGAACAGCTATCGCTCTGGAGCACGTGGCTCGTCTGCTGGCCTCACATCTGCTTCTCTGCTGGAAGCTTGTGCCCCGGAAACAGCAGCTGTGCTTTTGTGCCCAGCTTGGGGGGCTCTCAGGCCCAGACCCCACCAATTATCTAGACCCTGGCGCCTGAGGGAGAACCAAGGGCTGAAATGAACTCCCCTACCCAGGGTGTGGGCCTCTGCACTACAGAGTATTTCAAGACCCAGACAGGACCAGAGAGGGCGCTTAAAGTCTCAGCTCCTCCACATCTGAGCTTTGCGCCCTGGCCTCTCTGAGACTCAGGGCCACCCGCAGGGGTGAGGGGTGAGGCAAGCAGTATCATCGCCATGGACATGGTCACATCTGCACTGCCCGAGCTCACACGTGTGTGTGAATGACGCATCTCCTCTGAGACAGGATGCTGCATGCTCCGAGGATGCATTTGCTCATCTGTGAAGTGAGAGCAGGGCACAGAGGTGGCTGTGAGGACCAAGTGATGCGATGTTTGCAGGGTGCTGGCGCGGGGAGTCACTGTGTATGCCCGTGTGAGTCTCTGTTTCTGCTGCTATGGCCCCTCGTGGCCTCTCCACGGGACTCAGGGGGGCACAGCGTTTGTCTGCAGAGGAACGAGTGTGGGAGCAGACGGCGGATCTCGCTGGCTGGGCCATGTTCTTCCAGGAGGCTTTTCTGTAAAAAGGGCGCAGCTATGATGGGTGACGGTCACAGGTGTGGCACGTGGTCACCCCTGGGTCTCATCCAGAGGGCGTGCAGTGCACTGTGGCCGGCAGGGGCACCCCCTGAGCTGTGCAGGCCAGGGAGACTCCACCGCCCACTTCCAGGCGACCTGCCAGCCATTCACTGAGTCAGCAGGATCTCTGCCCCAGATGCCAGACCAGCTCAGCTGCCAAGACCCATGTGCTGACACCCGCATATGCGTGGGAAGCACCGCCCCAGCCCCAGGCTCCCCTAGTATCCTCAGGGCAGCAGGCGGATTGGTGGTGGCCTGTGACCTTGACCTGCCTGGGTGGGTCAGGGACCTGCGAGTATCTTGGGGTGAGAAGGAAACCAAGGTCCAGTTTAGCAGGCACCACCTGGGTCCCAGCCCTGCCTGGGGTTCGCACCAGAGCCGCCACCTCAAGTGGGAGGTCTTGGTTCATTTGTGGAGAAACTGAGGCTCGGCCAGGAACCTGACTGAGTCCCATGGGGTTGAGACAGCATTTATTGTTGAGAACGTGAGTGGACCATGAGTCCTGCCACCTCCCGACTGTGGACGCCCACTGCCTGGTGCATCTCTGTGTGGGTCAGGGGGAGTGGGAGACTCACTTAGGCGGGGCCTGAGAGGGTCATGGCCTCAGGACACTCTCCACAGCTCCAGCTCTGCGGTGTCTGCCCCTCCCTCCCGGGTGGTCTGTAGATGGGACTGGCCAGCAGGGAGGGGCTCCCATTTCTGGCACTGATCCTCCTCTCATGTCACCTACTGTCCTGGCTGACCACCCCCTGCTGTCCTCTCCCCACCCCCAGGCTACGAGGGTGTGAGCGAGTTCTTCACCGACCTCCTGAACCACATCACCACCGTCCTGCAGGCCCAGAGCACGGACGCAGGGGACGCGGGCGATGCGGCCCCGCACAGGCACAGCCGGCTGCTGGCGGAGCAGGTGGGCAGCCACGCGGGCGAGCGGACGTGCAGCGCCAGCCCGGGCTGCTGCAGCAGTCTGATGGGCCAGGACCCGGCCTGGACGCCGGAGGCCGACGCGGGCAGCACTGGCAAGCTGCAGCACCAGAGACTCGGCTGCACGGCCGCCGTGTCGCCTAGCTTCCAGCAGCACTGCGTGGCCTCGCTGGCCACCAAGGCCTCCTCCCAGTAACTGCGGATGGAGCCCAGGACCTGCAGGGCGGCCCGGGCCACGGAGCCCCACCCGTGACGATGCTACTACGAAGCCCGTGATCTGATTCTCCTCTTTTCAATTTTTAACCTGATTTTCTGATGTCATGATCAAAATGAGGGAGCAGGGGGGAGGTCAATGGCAGCGCCGCGTGGGCCAGCCTCCCGGAAAAGGGACAGCCTGCAGCCTGGTCATGTGCTCAGACCTGTCAACCGAGTTTACACATGCTTGTGTTTTCAACACTAGGCCCGAATGTGGGGTGGGGAAGGGTGTGCGTGCGTGTCTGCACGTGTGTGTCTGTGTGAGTGTGGTGTGTGCATGTGTGTGTGGGCGCATGCCTGTGTCAGTATGTGTCTGTGACCGCTGGGGACCAGGCCTTGAGATGCCCGGGGGACACCTCGCGCGTCTGCCCACCGTGGCGGCACAGAGGGCGTGGACGGCTGCTGTCCCTTCTTTTCTCTGCAAGCCCCCCCCCAGCACCTGACAGCCTCCCCCAGAGCTTTGTCAGCAGTGGGGCCCCAGCCCTCCTCCACCCACGAACGAGCCCCGCATGGAAGGGCAGGGAGAAGACTTCCCAGGAGGGGTCGGGCGAGGACTCAAGTCCAGCGCCGTGGAGTCCAGCAGCCAGGTGGCCAGAGACCCCTCACCTGTGTCCTTGTGAGCCTGCTACCTGCCCCAGAGCCCGAGCCACCTGCTCCCCAGAACCCAGGAAAGGGGCTGCCGTGCTGAGCACAGTCTTTGGACATCATTCCCAGAGTCATGACGTTCGGCTGCACACCTGAAAAGGCCAGAGGAGAACGCTGGACAGCAGCGGGAGGCCCCAGAGATCTCACAGCCATGGTGAAGGCAGGCCTGGGACTTGGATTCTCCCAGCAGGGGGTGCTGCCCACACGGCTCCCGAGTGCCCAGCCGGGGGCAGCTCCAGTGGCCGGCTGTCCACACCCACTGGTCCTCCTCACTCGCAGCCCCTGCCCCTCTCCCATGCTCTCACTCTCAGTTTTACAAGCTCCACATTCAGCTCCCCAGGGGTGCGGGAGCTGTTGCCCCCACATAACACCCCCTCCCCGGCTTCCTCAGCCCCTGATGGCAGCAAAACCCCAGTGCCCAGTTAAGTCCACAGGCCCCCGAGGGAGGAAGGCTGGGTGCAGGACTGAGCTGGGCCCTGGGGTTCGAAGCGGGTGTGGTGCGTGTGCCCCCCGAGTGTGGTGATGGATCTGGGGTGTAGGAACCAAGACCTCCTTGCTGCCCTGTGTGTGTGTGGAGAAGGGGGGCCTGAGGCTGCCAACTGGGACTGGAGGAGGAGGAAGCTTCAGGCCTGGCAGGGGTGGGGCGCTGTCAGGAATGCCCTGCTAATCATGTGGACACCACTTGGGTGTGGGCCCCCATCGGCCCGAGCCCCGAGCCCCAGCGGGATTAGCCGGCCTCATACACTGCTTCGTCCCCAAAATAAACTACTGAAATCAAACCGTCTCCTGCACTGCGTCACACCCGCTCCCCTGCGCCAGATGACTCGTCTTTGAAGAGGGTTTCGTAAACGGTTTTTCCTTATGGAAACATAGTTCCCTCTTGACGTGGGTGCACAGTGACCCAGACGTCTGGATCTTTCTTTTATCTCCCGTCACGTGTGTCAGCGTCCAGGGCTCAGAGACCGACTACCTGCTTTCCAGGGACTTGGTGGTGACACCACCATAGTTGCTTTTTCGGGGGCTGGAATTCGAGGGGTGGGGTTGGCCTGAGGAGACCTGGACCTTTATGGGAGGCCTGGAGGTGCCAGATGGTCACAGTGAGGTCAGCCCTGCCTTGCACCAGCCTGGACCTCCCATCCCGTCATCTCTAAAGGGCCTTAAAAACTGGCAGGGAACTCAACAGGGAGAGGGAGCACGTGTGGACACCCCAGTGGACCCCAGGAAGAGAGGACCTCGCTCTCAGAAGTCACCCGGCTGCATAATCTCCTCTTTGTTCTCTGTTAGCACTTGACTTTGGCCTTGGAGTTTTTGCAAAAGGGGAAGACAGATCCACTAAGAAAAGGCTGGTCCTTAGAACCTTCCAGAGCCTGTGGGGAGGGCCTGCAGGGGTTCAGCATGAGTGAGGCATGTTGTGGAGGGCATGTGCTTGGCCCCAGAGTGGGTCAGCATCGGACAAGGCCGGCGTGCGCTCGTGCCTGGCGTGGTCAGCACATCAGGTTGCTGTCCGGGCTGCTTGGTGGACCAGTGGCCCTTGGAGGTGTTTTTTTGTTTTTGTTTTTGCATGGTTGGGGGAGGTATCAGTGGATGGGCTTGCTGAAGGACACTCCAGAAACAAGAGTCAGGACCTTGTTCTGACTCACGCCTTCCTGTTTCCCAAGATCACTTAGTCCAGATTTGACCCCTGGGGCGTTGGGTCACTTCTGCATGAGCGCTTTGCTTGGGTCAGTAATGATTGTGATTCCATGGTCATTAAAGCCCTGGCATGAGCCGAGCACAGGTATCTGTCCTCACTAGAACCAGGGGGCATTTATTGTTAGCATCATGGAGGTGGTGTGAGTTTGCAGCACCTGGTGGTTGGGCTGGACTGAAAGCCACTTTCTGTCACACTGGGGGAAGTGGAGGGCCAGAGAGAGAGGAGAAGGCCCACAACACGATAGATTGAGGAAAGATACTGTCCCTGTGCGCTCGAGCGTATCAGACAGGGTGGGGATGGCACAGGATGGGGCAGGGTTCTGATCTGTCCCCGGGGTCTCTGTGTGTCCTGTTGACCGAAAGGCACGGGACACTATCAAGCATCACTTGCACGCCTCACACCCGTCCAGGTTCTCCAGGGGCTGTAGTGAGCGTTTTAAGTAGATGTGTGTACATCTTTTAGTCCTGTGATTGCTGTTGTGTGCTGTCAAGTTGGAACTGATAATAGCTGACTATCCAGCAGGTCATCAGAGGCAATAGATTACCCATCCTTGTTCCTCAGAGCAGCTGGTAGATTAGAACTATGTGCCTTTGGGATTGCAGCACAGCTTCTTAGCACTAGGCCCCCCCACCCCGACTCCCTGTGTAAACCTTTAAGCGTGTAAGTATATACACCTGTGGAACATGCACGCACACGGTTTATCCTGTGAAGGAGGGAAGACCCCCAGAGGACATCCTTTCTCCTCCCAGGACACTGCTGAGTGGGTTAAAACCTGGAAGGTTTTCCAGCCAGTGGGAAGCCAGCTGAGCGGCTCTGTCTGCTGGTCAACCACTCCAGAATCAAGGGGGGTTCTGTGGCCTTTGTCTTTCCAACCTGGTCACCAACTCTGCTTTCAGACTTCGAGCAACCAGAGAGAGAGCTATTGGTCACCAACACCGGTGTTCTTATGCTTTAAACTTGCCTTTTCTGCTCTCCCAGAACCTGACTTATCACCTAGTGGGGCACCTAGCAGCATCCTTCCCTTCCTGAGTGCCCTGGAGATGCCAGCCCTTAGCTGGTGCTGCCTGTTGTAAAGACACTGCGCCTTCCACCAGGGACGTGGAGAAAGGCTTCATCCTTGCTTGAGGGTGCTAGGGGCAGCCTGGCCCCCCTGGTTCCCTACACGTCTGCCTGCCTCTAGGACACCGATCGCTGGGTGACAGGCTGTCCCATGCAGTCAAGGGGGTGTCTGCCTTCTGTCCTCTACACAGCATTCCCAGGGTGGTCCTGGGGTAACACCCACACCCATTTCAGAGGGGGCCTGGTAACCTCTGACTTGTCAGTGAAAAGTGGATTGATTTGGGGCTGTTTTCTCTCATGCTGGACAGCAGCACACACCCCCTACCCCCCCCCCCCCCCCAGCCCACGGGCCCCTTCTCCAGACATGCCAGTTTCTCTTCCTCTGTGACGCTAGTGTTTGGAGGGCCCGTCCCCTCTCCGCTGAGTGACCTCAGGGTCTTGCCAGCCCAGCCATGGCCATGCTGCGTGGGTGTGCACTTGGGTCTCCCTGGGAGCACTCCCTAAGTGCATCCCCTCTCGTGTTCTGGCTTCAGAGGGCGGACACCCACTGCGTGACGAGGATCACTTGCTTTATCTCTGCTCGGGAGCAGCGGGTTAGACTCCCCTAACCCCACTCATAACACAGCAGCGCTGAGGGCCGGAGCACATGCGCCCCGAGGGTCTCACTTCGTCCAGTGAAGAGGTTGAGGGTTGGAACGGTTCATCTCTCCGTTTACAGCTGCATGTTTCAAGCACTGAACCACCAGGCTTCATCTGTGCGCATGCGTGCGTGTGTGTACACATCACAGCTTCTGTGCAAACCAGCACTGAACCAGGCCTCGTGTGTGTGTGTGTGTGTGTGTGTGTGTGTGTGTGTGTGTGTGTGTGTGTGTACATAGCTTCTGTGCAAACCAGCACTGTACCACCAGGCCTCATCTGCGTGCGTGCGCACACATCACAGCTTTCTGTGCAAACCTGCGAGTTTATGCACAGGCCCTGGGTCAGGCCGTCTGTTTGCCCATGTGGCTGGGCCTCAGTGATTTCAGGGACCAGGATCCCCCTCTTCTCGTTGTGCTGACCAGTCTTGGATCCCAAGCACTTGGTGGGTTACAGTCAATGTTAACATTTGTTATTTACCCATTGGGGAAGGTGGGGAAGGGAGTGCACACGTGTGAAACATGTAACATAAGTCCATGCTTCTGCTGCCCGAAGCCTTTGCCCCCTGTCCTTGGGGACACACACGCCCAGCCGTGGGCAGCAGCTCCTTGACCAGCCATCCCTGGGTGCCTCTCCTGAGTGTATGCTGAGGATGAGTTACAGCCCTACTGTCTCTCACCCCATCAGGAAGTCTGTGGACAGCACCCCGGCCTGTGACTCGATGAGTCACTTTTTCCTTAGAAAACAGACCAGGGCCTGCCAGGCTCCGGTGAACGTTAAATATGCCCTAAATCCTAAACAGGTCAGAGGTCACGGCAGATCAATTCCGACAGGAGCTGCTGCCCGGCTCCCAGCCCTGAAGCAAAGCTGGTCCAGTGGCTGTGACCTTGGCAGGTAGTGCTTCCCTGGCGCAGCCCCAGCCCCACCCAGCACCGCCCGACCTCTGCGTGACCTGGCCTGACGGGGCTGGAGGTGGGGGTGAGGAAGGGGTACCAAGGCCCTGGGCATGTTGCCTAATCCCTACTGCTACCTGTGAAAGGGCTGCCAGTGTCCCCATTTTATAGATGAGGAAACTGAGGCACAGAGATACAATGTGTTCACAGTTCTGGGGTACCAAACCTACCCATCCCTCATCCCCCATCCTCCATCCTTTAGGCCAAGCCCAGCCCAGCATACGCCACATCAGGAGGGAGACCAGAGTGAGTCAGAAAGAGCCCAGAGCAGGTTTATTTCCCCAGAGAAAGGGCACAGCATCCAACAGTCAGGTGTGCGTGGCTTCCCTCACAGGACAGCACTTACTGCAGTTGTGTCTGGTGGATCTGGTGGTGGGAGGGGTGTGCAGAGAGCTGCCTGTGCCCAGAGAATCGTGGGGTGTGAAAAGTATGGGGGCACCACCCTGCAGAGGGTTGGGGCTGAGAGCAGGAAGGGAGGGGTGGCCCAGGCTGGACACAGGCACTGCTCACCCCCTCAGTTGAAGCAGTGCCGAGCTGTCTGGCCACACCCAGAGCCAGGACCACGGGGTGCTGGGAATGGTGGTGGGGCCCCAGCAGGCCCTGCTCCGCCAGCTGGCCCTCAGCCCCGCCGCAGCGCCTGCAGCTGGTGGGCCACCTTCTCCAGCTCGGCCTCGATGACTGATAGGCTCTCCAGCTCCTGGTCCTAGAAGAGGACACGGGGGTCACTGAGGGCTGGCCCGAGCTCATGGTGAGCCGTGTGGCCTCGGGCAGGTAGCTCTGCCTCTCTGAGTCTCAGAGGATGCGTCCATCCCATAGAAACAATGACCACGGGGACAGAGACACCATGTGAGGGTCATTGCCCTGGGTGGCTGCATCCAGGCCCCATGTCCAGTTAAGTGACCCTGGACAGGTTGAGTCTGTGGGTTCTCAGGACCCAATAAACACCTCTCTGGGGGCTTCCGAAGCCCCGGAACTGGGCCTGCTCCTGAGTGGTTACCTCCTGTAAGGAAGCCCAGCGCCCACCCTACCCCCTGTAGGGCTACCTCCCTGTGCCCTCTGAACTGCCCATGATCCTCCCAGTCAGGCTCGGTCTCCAAATCTCCTGTATGCTAATCACGGTCACAGGGCAGTTCAGAGAGGAGCAATGACTGCCCAGGGTCACACAGATAGGGGGAGTCTGGATGTTCGTCCAGCTTCCCTGTCTGCCCAAGCATTAGGCTGGCCTAGCCCTGTCTGTGCCATTGTGACCCTGATGCAGGGCCCAGCCCAGGAGAGGGCTGTGCCACCTGCCTTGGAGCCAGGAGAGGACATGCCTCAGCCACCAGAGGCCCTTCCCAGGGCGAGAGCTGAGCCCCACAACCCCCCAGCTCTCAGGGATGCCCACCACCTCAATTTCTGGGGTGTCTGTGCTGTCATCTCCCTCACCCCACTCCCAGCATCTGGCCCCACTTGTCACACACCCCATTGCACACATCTGCAAGGTCCCCTGTCCCTCAAGACGAAGCCATCCCGGGAGCCTCTGGGATTCTCTCCACATCCCCACCTCCAGCTTCCTCCTCCACAGAAAAATCCAAAAACCTCCCCCACGTCTGTCCCTAAAGCGCTGCTTAACCTGCCCCTGCTTCCACTCTGCTCTGCCAGCCTTCCTGAGCTCTGCCCCAGCCCAGCCTTCTGGGGGAGTCTCCCAAGAACTCCCCCTCTGAGCATCACTCTAGTTCAGAACTCCCAAAGCATCCACGTCTCCAAAGCAGGGCAGATGGCAGTCGCAGCTGCCCCAGGCGGCCGGCCCCCACCCTGTACCCACCTCTGGTCTGCGGTTGGCACTGCCCTCCTCGTCCTTCTTCTCCTCTGGGTAGCCACGTCCCGGAAGGGGCAGGCCCGCCTCAACGCTGTCCTCCTCGGAAGACGGCCTCCAGCCCCGTCGGATCTGGGGCCCGGGACCCCTGAAGCCATAGGTCCGGGTCCGGAAGGGCAGCTTCATGGAGCGGTCGGGGTCGTCGTCCTCCGTGTCCTCTCCCGCCAGCCGCTTCTCGGCTGTCAGCTCCTTGGCCAGCTGGTCCATCTTGCTCCATCGTTTGGCATCGTCCCACTCCTTGGAGAGCTCTCCCTCCTCTTCCTCAGGCTCCACATCCTTCCCGTCCCGAAAGGGACTTTCAGGGGCTCCTGCCATCCCCTCCTCCTCCTGGGAATATTCCTGTCCCTCCTTCCCCTCGGGGGGCTGTGCCTCCTCAGACCCCATCTTCCTGGCTTCCTCCGTGGCCAGGGCTTCAGACTGACCTTGAGCTGGACAAGGACAGGACAATGAGGGAGGGGTCTCCCCCTTCTCCAGTCCCTGCCCGTCCCCAGGGTCCTCAGCCAGGGCCACCAATGGGGAAGAGGACCTTGGAGACTGAAGGTTAGCTCAGCCTCTTCTCTCCATCCAGCCCCACCAGGACGGACAAGCCCTCTCCACCACTCATTCCTAGAACCTCTCAAAGCAGTTCCCTGCGCTGCAATCCTAAAGGTGCATGGTTTGAATCCCCCAGCTGCTCCGTGGGGGAAGGATGAGCAGTGTCCTCTGTGATTTCCTGCCTCTGAAAACCCCCTGGAGGGTCAGCTACGGGTCAATTCCGACTTGAAGGCACACAACAACATCAACAACTCAAAGCCCCATGGCTCAGGGGGCATTGGCTGGAGTCTGCCTCTGCCTTTACCTCCTTCCCTTGAAACTCCTGACCTGTGGGGGTCAGCAGGAAGTGACAGGGAGGTCAAGGTCCTCTCGAGGAGCCAGGGTTCCTCTTAAACCCTGGTTGGAGCAGATGCTGCCCCAGCCTGATCCCACCTGCCATGCTGTCCCTCTGTTCCCAGGCCCGCCCACCCAGCTGCAGAGCCCACTCACCCCTTGGGCACCATCTAGGCTATGTGAGATAGTGAGAGGTGCACGGCTCACATAGACCTAGGGTGGACAGAATCTCAGCTTTGCTACAAGTCAGCTGTGTGACCTTGGGCCAATTGCTGAACCTCTCTGAGCCTCAATTTTCCAACAGGGACATAAGGACTGCCTTTCCGACTGCAGTTAACTTGGAATATGATTTGTGAGGTCTCTCCCACCACCTGCCCCTTCACCCCAACACCCTTGGGGGCCCAGCCAGCATACATACCTTTGTTATTCCTGATCTCCTTAGAGTCGAGATGGGGGTTCAGTGCAGCAGTGGGGGCTTCTTCCTCAGAGGCAGATTTCTCTGCAGCTTCCGCCTTCTCTCCCACATCCTCTTCCTCCTCCTCCTCCTCCTCCTCTTTCTCCTTCTTTGCCTGCAGCCCTTGCCCTGCATCTACATCCTCTGTGTCCACCAGAGCCCGTGGGGGGGTTTCAGCGACCCCCTCAACCTGTGGGCCTGGGTGTTTCTGGTCAGGAGGGCTGCCAGGGTGGTGACTATTTGCAATCTCCTCTTCACCGGGGGCCTGGTGGGTCTCCATCTCGGACCCCTGCACGGGTGGTGGGGATCCCTGGGTCCCAGAGTCTTCTATGTCTTCATCATGGTCCTCTGCCTCCTTAGAATCACCCCTTTTCTCCACAGTATCCTTGTACGATGCCTCCTCCATCACCTCTGCAGAAATAACAGAGTCAGACCCTGGGGACAAGGCTGTACCTGAGTCTCCCCCGGAGGCCACTTTCAGGCCTCAGTCATTATGCATTCTCATGCCGCCTGTCAGAACTCTAAACATCATGTTAAAATTACATTGACCCTCTCCAGTCCTGCTCCAAGCACCCCAAACTAGACTTAGGGTTACCCTCATCTGAGCCTGGGCTTGACCCCTCATCTGAGCCTGCATGAAATTGTGTTCCTTTCTTATAATTTTGCCTTGTAATTCAAATCAAAATGCGTTCCAAACAGGTCTTGCAAATGGCCAAGGAAGCGAGCTCTACGAGGGCATCTGCTGAGCTGTGTGGTAAGCTGGGGTAAAGGCCTTAAGGTCAGTGAGCACCATGCCTGCAACTTCAGCCTGTTCTCTCTCCCTCCACACGGCTGCTCCACCTTCAGCGTGCTGTGGAAGGGCTCAGCTCCCTAGTATGTGCAGGGCTTCATTAGAAGCTTTTTTCTTTTTTTAAATTTTATTTTATCTTATTATTTTTTGTGTGTACTGTCAAATCAGATCTGACCGGTACAGAAGGAGATTGCCCCTCCTTCTCCAGCAGAGCATCTGGTGGATTAGAACCAGAAGGTTTTTTCTTAACACACAGGTGAAGCTTGCACATGACTAATGTAACTGATGTTTGTTGTTGTTTTGCACCATTGAGTCAATTGCGACTCATAGCGACCCTCTGTACAATAGCCCTGAAACCTGCTCTATCCTGTGCCAACTTTACTGTCTCCGAAACACTTACCCTCATTACCCCAGTCACTGTATCAATCTATCTCATCGATGGTATCCCTATCTTTTTCTGTCTCTCCACCCTTCAAGTATAGATGTCCCTCCTTGCAACATGCCCAAAGTATGTCAGATGAAGCCTCAGAATCCTTGCCTCCAAGGAGCAGCCTGGTCTCACTCTCTCTAGCTTGAACCTGTTTGTTCTTCTAGCAGTCCATGGTATATTCAATACTCCTCTCCAGCACCACAGCTCAAAGGCATCCATTCCCTTTCTATCATCCCTAGTCATTGACTGATATTGTACATATTAAAAATTAATTAATATGTAATTGTATATATTACGGTTTCCCCACCCCAACAATTTCTAAAGGGCACATATTTTCTTGGAGTTGCCTTGAAACAGCAGTCTAAAAATCTCTCCATCCACACAATGATTTCCGTAACAAAGCTCTGCCAAGCACAAAGATATTGCAGAGCAAAAATGTCACTCTGGGCACTAAGGTGCTCCTGCATTTTCAATAGCCTCTAAATAGGGAGCACAGGTGGCCTATTGGTAAGTTGTACTAGCAACCCAAAGGTACATAGTTTGGATCCACCAAGTGCTCTGTGGGAGAAGGATGGGAGATCTCCTCCTGTGCTTCTGAAAACCTGCTGGAGGGTCAGCTATGGGTCAGTTACCACTCAACAGTGCACAACAGCAGTATACGCTGGACAGTGAATGAAACAGAACAAAGCAGAGCAGATGCCTTTGGATCATGGTGTTGGCGAAAGGTACTGAATGTACCGTGAACTTCCAGAAGAAGGAGCAAATCTCGTTCAGAACAAGTGCAGCCAGAGTGCTCTTCAGAGACAAGCAGGGTGAGACCTCATCTCGCGTATTTTGGGCGTGTTGTCGGAAGGGGCCGGTCTCTAAACGAGGGCATGTTGCTTGATAAAGTGGAGTGTCTCTGAGAGACAGGAAGGCCCTGAACAAGAGGTAGTGAAAGGTGGCTTCCTCAGGGACTCAACCATGGTCACAGTCCTGGGAAGAGAGCAGATCAGGCTGTGCTCGTTCTGCCGTAAAGGAGTCAGCGTCACGACCGATACGACGGCATGTCACATAACAGAGCCACCAAGAACAGAACACCACTGGGGCACCACCAAGCCGCTCATCCCCCTCTCACAGACACACAGACTGACCCCCAGGAAGGATCCCCTGTCAGACTCGTGCAGTCTGCAGGCCGAACCCGAGCCTCTGAATGCTAAGACCAGGCTCCCTTCGGGGCTCACGCGTGGCTACCTCCCCATTAAATCGTCCACGCCTCCCAGGTTTCTCAGAGATCAGGGACGCCTCGCCGTCTGTGGAGACACTGGAGTTCATGGAGCAGCTGTCGTTGTTAGGTGCTGTCTAGTCGAGCATGACTCACACAGCGAGCGACCCAGGGAACAACGGATCTGAGCCCTGTCCTGTCCTGTCCCAGCCTCACTATCTCCAATACTCTCCAACCGATTGGAGATTGACTGCATCAATCCATCTGGTTGAGGGGCTTTTCTCTTTCACTGACCCTCCACCTTTCCAAACATGCCCCTCTCCAAGGAAAAACCTCTCCTCGCAACATGTCCAAAGTACGAGAGACAAAGCTTCACCATCTTTGCCTCCAAGGAGCACTCTGGTTGCACTTTTTTCAAGACATATCTGTTCATTCTTTCAGCAGTCCATGGGACATTCAGTGCTCTTCTCTAACACCACAGCTCAAAGGCATCAATTCTCCTTCCGTCATCCTCATTCACTGTCTAGCACTCAGAGGCGTATCCCAAACCTTTGAGACCTCACTGGTCAGTCTTCCTTCTCAGCCACAGCCATTAGCTGACCACTGAGCTCTAGAACCAACCTTACCCACCCCTTTCCAAATGCAAAGGGCTGGACCCTTGGGGGCAGTGTGTGGTTGCTTCTAGACAAGAAGGACAGGGTAACAGAATCATGTAATCTAGTCTGTGATCTGTTTGACCCCGCAAAGCTCTTTGGTTTCAGGGAAGCTGATCTAAGCTCATTTAGTGTTTCAAGCCTGCCCCTCTGGGATCTTTCCTGAGCCTCGAGTATTCTAAAACCAAGATCCAAACACATCACTGCTGAGTTAATTCTGACTCATTGCCAAAAAAACACCCAGAACTCAACTCATTGCCATCTAGCCTGAACCGACTCATAACTGATCCTCCTTTAAAACCTCCCAGTGCGTTTTCAGAAGCGGTAAATCTCATGGGATGAGGTTGCTGGTCTTTATTCCAAGGAGCTGCTGGTAGATTTGAACTGCCCACCTTTGGGTTGGCAGTGCAACTTCCTACCCTTCAAATCCATGGAGGGCAGGTGTGGAGGTAGGGCTGCTTTGCCGCTGCGGCCGCTGTGCAGACCCAGAGCTGGAGCTGCTGGCTCAGAGTGATGAGGGATCATGAGAGACCGGGCGTGAGACACAGCCTGACTCAAGCCCCAGTTCTGCAGCTCATCAACTGGGAAATCTTGGGCAAGTGCTTAACGTTTTTGGGCTGCATTTCCTCATTTGTTCAGGGAAGATGGTATTATCCTCCATACAGGGTCTAAAGGAGCCCTCGTAACTGGTGCCATTGCCCTTGTCCACCCTGCCCCTGCCCAGCCTCTGGTTGCACCACTGACACTGACCTTGCAGCTTGTTCTTCTCAGTCTGCTTCTCAAGAACTTCAGAGAGTTCATCCTCGAAGTCGCTGTGTTTCTTCTGCTGGTGTGCCCTCTCCTTGGCGCCTGTGTGAGAAGAGGGAAGAATCCCTTCTGGTCAGAGCCCAGACTCGGATGTTTGTCTAAGCAAATGAAGGCTTCAGTTTCTTCATCTGTGAACTGGGCACATCATGGTCTAGGCCTGCCTGAGGAGAGACTGCAGGGCCAGAGCTGGGAGAGGGGTGGAGCATTGGAGGCCTCTGCCTGCTCCCTTCAGGTGGTCATGCCACTCTCCAGGGTCACTTTCTCACCTGGGGAATCAGAGCACGCCCTGATGCCCCACATAGCGACAAAGGCTCAAATGAAGCCTAGGGTCTCAGGGGCCGGAGCAGGGGGCACCTTAGCTCCTTAACTGGTAGCTCGGGGGAACATGAACTCTGCAGCTTAAGGTCATGGTGACTGCTTGTCCCCTGCCCCCCAGACCCCATGAATCCAGGCCCCAGGGGACGATGAACACTACACTGGCATTGGAACCAGAGACCTGCCCAAGGCTACTACACTCTCCACCACTGTGCCCACCCCGTAGTGCCTCCGAATGGCCCCTTGACCAAGCCAGCTCTGCAGGTGCAGACGGCTTTCCCCCATTATGGGAACTTCCAGGGCAGCCAAAGAAAGCTGACCCAATGACCAGCTGCCAAGGAATATGGCTGGCGCTGGACTCAGGCAGGCCTGGAAGGGTGACCTTGGATGGCATGCACTCTCTCAGATGGGGCTGTTCCTCTGGTGCAATGCTGTTTTGCTGCTAAGGCTTAGAAATCTGAGAAGATATTGTGGAAACCCAGGAGACAGGACAGAGGATGGATAGATGGACAAGCAGATCGTGAATAAACAGACATCTTCTAACAGAAAGCAATCTTATAATGTCATATAGAGTTGTTACCAGGGATGCAGATGGTTCTCATACTTGGCTTTTCCCTAAAAGCCTGGAGAATTGGATTCACCCAGCAGTACCACAGAAGACAGACCTGCTGGTTTACTTTAAATACAGTTTTTTTAATGCCTTTGAAAGCTCTGTGGAGCACCGTCTCCTCTGGCACATGGGGTCGCCAGGAGTCAGCGTGGACAGATTGGTAGCTGGCTTATATCATGAATTGTTCATGTTGAATACACATGTGGCCAGTCCAGGAGTAATCTCCTGTAATAACCTCTGTTGATATAGTATTTCTTTATATAAATATAATAAGTTAGCAATTTAAATTAAAATGACTAGCCTGTAATAAAACATTTAATGCTTGGCGAAAACAGCAACACCAGGGTCAACGATGGGAAGTCAATGGCATGGGTTACCATAGCCACAGCTCCACCCAGCACCAAAGACGTGCTGGTGTCCACCCATCCATCCTCCCAGGAAGCGTGGGAGGTGGACGCTGACCTTGAACGCTGACTGGTGTGAGAGAAAGGACTGCGTGTTAGCTTGGGAAAGGCCCTGGGGTGTCCCCATTACTGCGGTGACTGGAACTCACCTTGCCCCAAGTCTCTCTGTCCCCTCACACATGGCATTGACTGCCCCAGAGGCCTCAGCATTGGGGGGCCCCAGCCTGGAGCAGCTCTCACATCTCTACCCACTCAGACACAGCCCACCTCTGATGAGTTGGGGAGAAGATGACGGTTCATGCTTGCGGGCCCCTTCTCAGGGAGAAGCCCAGCCTTGTGCATAGATAAATGGCACATTCCTCAGCAGGCAGCTAGTGGTCCGTGCAGGATTAGAACTCAGGCTTCCCAGCTTCCAGGGCAGGACTCTTGACTTACATTGCCCAGGAAGGAGTCTAGGCCTGGCTAAGTGGATCGCTGTCCTCTAGGATACCAGCCTATCCCTTCATCACAGAATCTTGTCAAGGTTTTGCTGGAATAGTCTCAGTGACGGGGTGCTCACTACCGCACACAGTCACTTCCTTGATGTAGCATTAGTCGTTATTTTTGCGGGTAAGCAAACATCACCCTGGAGCACACTGTAGGCCTGGCCTGGATTTGGGCAACCAAGACCGTGCTTCCCTGAAATCCCCTTTGAGCAGCTGAAGCTCATGAGGAAACTGGCCCCCTTCTTGCTCCTGGACATCAATTTCCTTGTCAGCTCAGAGAGAGCAAGAAATCTTTTTTTTTTTTCAATCTGCTCTTGAACGTGCCCCAGGGACACAGCTGGCACGGCAGTGTCTTTGGGGTATTGGGATAGTTGCATCTAGTCTTGGCAGGAACTGAACTCACTGTGTGACCCTGGACAAGCCATCTCTCTGCATCTTAGCCTCTATGACTGTCAGTAAGAGATCAAATCAGGTGGGACAAAGCCCGCCCCGCCACCTTTCAGTTCTGCAACAGAAAGGAAGTGGCTGGGTGCCAGAGAGACACACAGCTTCGCTCAAGCCACCACCCTAGCGACTGGAATTTGCCCAGAACGAGGCACACAGCTGGAAAATACCTTGGAGAGCAAGGTCTTGGAGCTCCTTCAGCAAGTTTTGGTGTCGCAGGATGGAGAGGATCCGGGCATCTGCAGTGAAGACAGGCATGACGGGTGACGTCCCGGGCACAGCCCCAAGAGAGATTACCATCAATACTTTCGGCTGAGCACAAAGAATTTATGCTGGAAATGCAAAACCTGGTGGCAGCAGCCAGATCGCTCTCTGGATAACACTTGGAAGCCCCCCTTCTCTCTAAGGTGTCAGTTTCCCGCTGTCTCAGCACCCAGGCTTCAGCCAGAGGGTGACAGGCCCTGAGGATTAGGTGGTGTTTCTAAACACAACGCGTGTCCCCTCTGCCCACACTTTTCTCACCCTGTCCCCACCATCTGGGACATCCTTTCCTCCAGATAGCCAATTATCCTTTTAAAGCCCAGTCCTAATGCCATTGGTACTATCTCTGCAGTGACTTGGTTGGGAAAACGTTCTATCCCCACAATATTATGTTATTTATCATGCATCCTTATGGTGGCCACCAGGTGCCAGAGGCTGTCTGTCCTAGGCATTGGGGACATGTTGTTGTTGTTGTTGTTGTTGTTGTTGTTGTTGTGTGCCATCGAGTCTCTTGTGACTCATAGAGACCCTATGTACAACAGCCCTAAACTCTGCTCTGTCCTGTGCCAATCTCAGTTTCCAACACACTCATCCCAATTGCCCCAGTCACTGAATCAATCCACCTCCCAGAGGGCCTTCCCCTCCTGCACATAGTACACATAATCTTGTCTGCAGGGAGCTCCCACTCTGGTGGGCTTGGCATTGCTGCCCTGGTTTCATTCTGCCTAAAATTCTAGTTACCTGTGTTCATTGTTCTGTCCCCTTTGTGGGTCTCTTCAGGCCTTGGGACGGTGCCTGGCCGAAGCCTGATGCTGGGTCAGTGACTGTTACATTCTATCCAAAGCCCTCTTCTAGCTTCCCAGAAGGCAGCATCCCTCATCCGCAAACATGACACTTACCTCCTCGCAGGGTCTCAAAACACTCTTGGCTGACAGGCATGGGGCTGGGCTTGGAGAGCGTGTCAGAGATGACCTCAACAATACACCTCATCACCTAGGAAGAGAGCAGAAGGTGGGCTGAAATTGGTGTGAGTACTGAGCTCAGCATCCAAAGGCCTTGGTGCCGATTTATAAGAACACAAGTTCTGGAGTCCATAGATGGTTGACTCAGAGGCACAGCTCTGCTTCCTTGGCCAGGCAAGATTAACAGTAACATCATGTGCCGGCACCCCAGTAGCAAGTCAGCCAGTGCCTCCCATTCAGACTCTCATGGTGGAGGTCAGGGATGGAGGGTGAGGGCCTGTATCTTCTCACATTCAAGCAAGGCTTCCCTAATCTGTAGGGATCAGAAAACCTTCAATTCAGAACCAACTCATAGCTGACCCTCCAGCAGGTTTTCAGAGGCAGTAAATCACATGGGAGGTGATTTCCCATCCTTCTCCCATGGAGAAGCTGGTGGATTTGAACGGTGGGCCTTTGGGATTACAACACAGCTTCTTATCACTGCTTCTTCTTTCTCCTACAGAGTGGATTAGAACCACTGACCTTTTGGGGAGCAATAAAATACTTAATTCAGGGCTCCTTAGGCTAAAACTAAGAGTAGGTCTTCAATAAATGGACACTGTTATGTCTAGAGTTTCCCTTTCTTGATCTCCCACCCACCTTGGGATCCACACATAGTTCTCTCTTCCCAAGTCTGCCTACAAGAACTGGTGGTCACCTGGTGTTTCCAGGGCAGGATCTGGGACGACAGGGAGCCACAGGGTCTTGAAAAACCACTGCAGTTGTGCATATGCTTAACCATCACCTACTCCAGGAAGCCCTTCTGGACTGTCCCAGTACCTACTTGCTGTCAGTGTAAGCCTCATAGTCTAGCTCTTGACTGTGAAATGTGGCCCCTGGCTGATTATGGAGCACACAGCACCTCCATCTGGATGCTGTCCCAGGTAGACAGCAGTCACACCTCCCAAAGTCTTGTGTACTGCCCAGCAAGGTGCTAGGGACAATTAGGTACCAGGTAAATAGGTCTACTCAGATGATGGTGCCAACTTTAGTGTGGTATCCTACTTGTATCATCTCGAGCAAGTGGTTTAAGTGTCCGAACCTCAGTTTCCTCATCTGTAGAATGGACATTAAGAACCCTGCCTGACTGCCCTTCCAGAGAACTGTGGCCGAGATGGGTCAGTGTCTGTGAAGCATAAAGCATCGCACACACCTGGGGAGGAATCACAACTCCAGACCTGCTTCAGCTGCCTCGACCCAGCAGAGCAGCAGGAGGTGTCAGACAGGCATCAGGCACGTCTGGCGGGGAGTGAGGGGGTGGTAGGCTGTGTCCATGGGGTGCCAAGGTAACCAGCTCGAGGATCTAAGATGACAAACTGGCAAACAGCCTTTGTGGTATCTGTAGTCACATCCTCAGATGGAACACTCAAGACTTCATCAGCCACTCTGTGCCTCTGACCCCAGATGCTGGACTTGATCCAGTGACCTCTCCAGGAAGCAGACAATCAGTCCTGCTGCCTGGACCCTGTGGCTCCCTTTAGTCCCAGACCTTGCCCTGGAAACACCAGGTGACCACCAGTTCTTATAGACAGACTCAGGAAAAGAGAACTATGTGTGGATCCCAAGGTGGGTGGGAAGATCAAAAAAGAGAACCTCTAGGCATAACGGTGTCCATTTATTGAAGACCTAGTCTTAGTCCTATCCTAAGGAGCCCTGGATTAAGTATTGTATTGCTCCCCAAAAGATCAGTGGTTCTAATTCACCAGTCACTCTGTAGGAGAAAGAAGAAGCAGTGATAAGAAGCTGTGTTGTAATCCCAAAGGCCCACCGTTCAAATCCACCAGCTTCTCCATGGGAGAAGGATGGGAAATCACCTCCCATGTGATTTACTGCCTCTGAAAACCTGCTGGAGGGTCAGCTATGAATCAGTTCTGACTTGAAGGCACATAACCACTACAATAAACCCTTTGAGAGCAGGTCTATCTTGCCCTCTAGGGTTGCTATGAGCCAGAACCTAATGATGGCAGTAGTCTGGGCTTAAGTTTTACTATGTGCTGGACACTTCACTTCCTACTAAAAATTCTACTCAGGCAAAATACTACAGTTAGAAAAAAGTGGAAGCATGGAGAATCTAAGGAATTGTCCCCAAGGCTGCAGAGCAGAATGAGTTTTTGTTGTTGTTGTAGACTCATAGCAACCCTATGAATGAAAGACCTGGACATATAACTCCTATCCTATCTCCAGGTTCATAGGGTTTTGGGAGGCAAGCTATTTTGGAAGTGGATGCCACTCCTGCTTCCAAGCTTGTTTTAATTGGGGAGCTCCACCAAATGCTGTCCACTATGAGTAGCCATTATCACATCTGACACATCAGTGTCACAGTGTTCAGCTCCACAGCAACCATGAGTTACCTCTGTACAGGAAGTGGACAGACCAGGGCTATATGACCTAGAAGAATGTTTGACCAAAAACAATTAAAAACAGGCCTGAGGGCCGTGGATTAAAGTCACCCACCTTTGGCTTGGGCCAGATGATCTCTCTATATGCTGTTGTGTTCAATGAGTGGTAGTGACTTAAATTCAGTACTAATTGTAGACTAGCAAAGTGGAAGCTCTCACTGAATGCATTGAAGTTGGGATCTCTTTGATACCTTGGGTTTTAACTGTGGTCTCTATGGAATGGACAAAAGCCACTTCTGAAAGGGTGGGGAATGAAGATTTCCCTGAGCTTCAAGTGGAGCATCTGTGATCACAAGAGATTGGACAAGAAGCCTCAGCTAAACATGAACGTGTTCCAAGTATCTGCCCAGTGTGTCTCCTGCTGGCCAGAGTATGCCCAGCCAGTGCCTCATAATGCCCTTGCCCCATTGACCTCAGCCATCAGGCTGCCTCCTTAGGGTACCAGAGCATGATAAAAATGTTTTCACTGTGGCCCTTGGGGGAAGCCAAGACCTGAGCACCTGTGGAATGAGCGGGTGTTGTTGGCAGCACAGCCTTGAGAAAAGAAGAGCAAAGGGGCCAAGGCCAAGTATTTCTCCCACGTCTGTGCTGTGCACTCTCTGAAAAGCAAGCCACTCCCTCCGCCTGAGGGTGGTCTTTGCAAATTCCAAGTGTAGGAGACAATGGATGTAGCATTTCAGCCCACTATGCAAAACCCAAACTCCATTGGGCTGCACACCCAGCTTCAGAGGAAGCCAGGGAAATCCTCATCACAGCAGGAGGGCAGGGAAATGGAGCAATCTTTGATGTCTTCTTTTGCAAGCTGTCCCCAGGCTCGCAGCCGCAGTGCTGGCTGCTGGCTTTGTGCCAGATTCACTCCTGCAGCTGCCGAAGAACTAGCTATGTGGTGCCTACTGGGGCTCCCATCCCAAGGTATCCCCAGAACCCATCTTACCTCAGTATCCCCTTTACTCATCGGGCTGTTCACCGGGAGGGCAACAGCTGGGAAGGAGAAGAAAGAGTTGGGGGTCACTCTTTGGCTCTGTAGGGATCCCAATCCTTCCCAACCAGGTCACTAGGAGTCCATACATTCAATGTTCCCTCTCAAAGTTGCCTCTTCCCAAATCAGGGGCTGTGTGGATTTTGTTTCTGTCCCCTTACTCCTGTCCCCAGGGGGTTGGTCCACAGAGGCTGTGCTGAGCAGACCTACCGCTCCTCTTAGGGAAGTCTCCTGCTGAGGAGGCAATGTGGGAGCTGGGGGGCAAAGCAAAGCTGGAAGGAGGAGAGGGTGTGGGGAGACGGGGAGGGACCCCAGACGTGAGGGAAGAGGGGAGATGAGGGAAAGAGACGAAGGAAGAAAAGATTTCTACAGATGAGACAGAAAGGTAGAAGTGCAGAAACTGGGAGAGCAAGAGGGAGGCTGGGGAGAGGGAGGGAAGGGAAGCTGTGAGAGCAGCAGCTCTTCCAACTCCCCCCATTGACCTTGGCCAGCCATGGCCACGGAACTGGAGCTGGCCTAACTGCAACCTAGATGCTGAACCAGATCAGGGGTGGGGCACGAGAAGACCATGGCCCCCGGGGTCGGGGTCAACCCCAGGGAGTCAGGTCTGCGGTTGTGCGGTCGCAGCCGGTTGTGCGGTCGCAGCCCGAGGCCACATAGCTTGGCCAGGCAGGAGACGGAAGGCGCTGTCCGCGGTGCTGAAAACTCGGTGCGCCCATATGTGCACGGAGGGCGCACGGCGCTGAGCGGTGCCTGGACCTCTCAGACCGACCAGGGCAGGCAGGGGCGCTCCGGAGTCCCCCCCGTTGAGTCCCCCCGCGCTCGCTCACCTTGCCCGGCGCACAGCAGCAGCGCCAAGACAGTGGCGGAGCGCATGGCGAGCCTTGGGCGCAGAGCAACTGGAGGTCTGGGGCCGGATCCCGCGAGTTGCAGCCGCACTGTAGGTGGGTTGTGGCCGCGCTGGCGCTGGGTCTAGGGCTCAGCGCTCTTGCGTGCGTCCGTCAGTCTGCTCGTCCAGCTGTCCCTCTGCGCCAGGTTGGGCACTGCAGCACCAGCACCCGCGCGCCCAGCATATATACCCTCGACCCCGGAAATGACGTCAGCGGGGCCGCCCCCTGCCCCTGTTTCCCCACCCCCTGGGGGTCCGTACTGGCCCTCTCCACAGCCAGCTTTAACCCTCGCTGCTCCTGGATGTACCAGCTCATAGCATCTGGGGCCAGCCTGGCTCCCCGGAGGGGCGGCGCGGGGCGGATTCAACGATTCGCTGAGTGTCGGTGGGCAAGTCATTGTCCCTTGCGGGACCTCGCGTTTCTCTAGTGTGCTCTGAGGGCTGGACTCTGTCAACCCGAGTGCCGGCGCCATGCTCCCCGCTCTCTCCTGTGCCCTGTGGGGTCCCGCTCCCCCTGATCTCACAGTCTCAAAGTCCTTACCACTCACTTATCATTTATCACGGCCTCAGATGTCCCCTACTAAGAGACACGTGCTGAGCCCCCTGACTAAGGGAGTCTTCCCTCTCCAGCAACCCAACTTTGTGCCTTCACAATTTGTAATTGTCAGTGCATTGCTATATTTATTTGAATAATGTTTGATGAGAAGGTACATCTTTCTCCTTCAGAGCATCTGGTGGATTAGAACAAAGAGCATTTAGGTTAGCAGGACAACTCCTTACCTCTAACCCACCAGAGCTAAATTCTGAGTTCTGAGGAGCAATGATGTCAGTGTAGAGACTAAGGTGCACCTGACCCTGGCCATGGTCTTTGCTATTGCATGCTATGCACCAGAGAACTGAACAATGACTAAGGATGACAGGGGAAAAAATGATGCTTTTGAATTGTGGTGCTGGAGAAGAGTACTGCACATATTATAGACCACCAGGAGAACAAATAGTTCTGTCTTGGAGAGAGTAGGAGAGACCAAGTTTCTCCTTGGAAGCAAGGATTTTGAAGCTCCATCTCACATACTTTGGGCACGTGGCTGGGAGGGACTAGTCCTTGGAGAAGGACATCATGCTTGGAATGGTGGAGGGACAGTGCAGTTGATCCCAGATGAGGTGGATTGACATAGTAACTGGGGCAATGGGATTAGGTGTGCTGGAGTCAGTGAAACTAGTTCAGGACAGGGCAGCCTTCAGAGATGATGTTGTACATAGGGTCACTATGAGTCACAGGCAGCTTGACGGCACATAACAGCCAGCATGAGACACACTCGGCAGATACTTGGAATGCATTCATGTTTAGCTGAGGCTTCTTGTCCAGTCTCCAGTGCTCGCAGATGCTCCACTTGGGGCTCAGAGAAATCTTCATTGACCACCAGTTAACTTTCATCAAGACTACAGCCTAGAAAACCCCACAGGGTCCATTCTGCTTTCTCCAGGGGTTGTTATGTATTGGAATTGACTCCATGGTACGCCAACAACAGCAACTCCGTGCCTTTGCCCACTTCTGTCCCAAGTAAGAATCAGGCAGGGGCTCAGAAATGGCTCCATGCAGACATTCAGCCAATAATTATTTGTTAAGAATTTACAATATGCTTATTGTTGTTGTTAAGTGCCGCCGAGTCATAGACGACTCACAGCGACCCCATGAAAAAAGTCCTCAACACTTGTGTGACTTTTATCCTTTCTCCAGGTTCATAGGGTTTCCGGAGGCAAACTATTTATGGCAGTGGATGCCACTCCTGCTCCCAAGCTTGTTTTAATCAGGGAGCTTCACCAAACACTGTCCACCATGGGTAACCATTATCACATTTGACAAATCAGTGTCACAGTGTTCAGCTTCACAGCAAGTATGAGTTACCTCTGTACAATATGCTTAGAATAGCTTAAAGCACCTACTAAGTGCCAAAACACTTAGAAGAGCATGTAGCCGTTTTAGGTGCTGAGGACTCAACAGACAAAGACCTGACTTTCATGGAGTTAATAACTCCAGAGAGTGAAGACAATAAATTAAACACGTGAAAGTCTAGTATGTCATGTGGTGACAAGTGCAGCAGACAAAAATAGTGCAGGGAGTGGGCACAGGTATTTTGGGGCAGGGATGGGGTTATGTTTTAAATTGAGTGAATGAGGAAGCCCCCTGAGATGGTGACATTTGAGCAGAAACCTGAAGTGTGGAGCAGATGAGTCTCAGGGAAGAGTGCTCCAGGCTGAGGGAGCACCACGAGCAAGTGCCCTGCAGGAGGAGCATGCCCACGTGCTCGAGGGGCAGCAGGAGATCACAAGAGAAGGATCTCGAGAATACAGGTGATCAGTAACATGCAGTGTAGTGGGGGAGGGAGAGGGAAGAAATGCACCAAGAATACAGGGACAGTCGCCTGTGCTCCCACCACCCAATGGTAAACACTGCTCATTTTGATGTTGATTTTCCTACAGTCTTTTCTTGAGTCAGCTCCTTTAAAAGAGGGCTATTCCTAGAGACAACAGCACTTAATAACAATAACATAGAGCTCTGTGGGCTTCGTGGATAGAAAGTGATGTTACCAAGCCAAAGGTTGGGTGATTTTAATCTGCGACCCTCAGGCTTAGTCTTAATTGTTTTTGGTCAAACATTCTTCTAAGTGGCATAGCCCTGGTCTGTCCATTTGCTGTACAGAGGTAACTCGTGGTTGCTGTGATGCTTCAAATGTGATAATGGTTACCCATGGTGGACAGTGTTTGGTGGAGCTCCCCGATTAAAACAAGCTTGGAAGTAGGAATGGCACTACTTTTGAAATAGCTTGCTTCTGGAAGCTCTACGAACTTGGAGAAAGGATGAAAGTTATACAAGTGTTCAGGGTGGCTGTGAGTCGTCTATGACTCGATGGCACTTAACAACAACAATTCCTAGAGAGTGTCTTGTGCTAAGAACTGTCACTCATTCCTGGTAACTGGTGGAACACAGGGCCCCCAAAATAGGTTACCACATGGGGGCCTCCTGAATGTGCGGACCATTGACACCTGCTTCCTTCCCAGTGTCAGCTCATGGACAATTACCCTGCTCATAGTACACTGCTGTTGTTGTTAGGTGCCATCAAGTGGCCCTAGTGACTCGGAGCAGACCTATGAACAACAAACCTGAGCTTTGTTCTAATCTGTGCCCTCCACATGATCTCTGTCATGCTCAAGTCCACTGTCGCAGCCACTTGTCAGTCCATGTCATTGAGGGTCTTCCGCTCTTTCACTGACTGTTCTCAGTGCGGTGTCACTCTCCAATGATTGGTTCCAACTAAAAATATGTCCAATGTAAATGAAATAGAGTTTTACCATCTCTGCCATGAAGGCGTACCTTGCTTGTACTTTATCTAAGACATATTTGTTTGTTCTTTTGGCAATTAAGTAAGTACTCTTGTCCAACATTACAATTCTAAGGTGTTGATTCTTCTATCATCTTTATTCATTATCCAACTTTCAGATGCCTGTGTTGATTCTTCTATCATGTTTATTCATTATCCAACTTTCAGATGCCTAGGAAGCAACTGAAAATACCATGGCTTTGATTAGGTGCACTATAGTCTTTAAACTGACATCCTTGCTCTTTAGAATTTTGGAGAGGTCCTTGACAGCAGATTTTCCCAACGCAACATGTCATTTGGCTTCTTGACTGCTGCTACCATGGGAGTTGACTGTGGGAACAAATAAAATGAGATCATTAACTACACTGGTCCCCATGCACTTTATTTAGAGCAGCTCTAGTGTCCTAGTGGCAAGAAGTTGTGCTGCAATCCTGAAGGCACATGGTTTGAATCCACCAGTTGCTCCGTGAGAGAAAGGTGAGCAGTCTCCTCTGAAAATCCGCCTGAGGGCAGCTATGGGTTGGTTCTGACTCAATGGTACAAAACAACAACAAAGTGGTTTGTTTAAGGAGCACTGATGGTATTAAAGCACTTTGATTTCTAACCTCAAGGTTGGCAGTTCAAACCCACCAGCTGTTCCTGGGGGGACAATGTGACCATCTGTGTCCTTAAATATTTTCAACCTTGGAAAACCCTGTGGAACAGTTCTATTCTCTCCTACTGGAATGTTACATGATTAGAATCTACTCACAAGTGTGGGATGGGCAATTTATTTTACTAGTAAGAACTTGTTTCCTGATAATGAGTTGTTTTTGTTGTTAAGTGTCATCAAGTAGCTTGTGACTCATAGCAACCCTGTGTACAAGAGCCCTAAACCCTGCTCTATCCTGTGCCAACCTCACTGTCTATGACACACCTACTCGCATTACTCTAATCACTAAACCAATCCATCTTATTGAGGTTCTTCCCCTCCTGCGCTGTCCCTCCACCCTCCCAAACATGATGTCCCTCCCCAAAGACTGGTCCCTCCTTGAACATGGCCAAAATATGTCAGACGAAGCCCTAGAATCCTTGCCTCCAAGGAGCTGCCTAGTTTAACCCTCTCCAGGATGAATCTGTTTGTTTTCCTAGCAGTCCATGGTACCCTCAATATTCTTCTCCAGCACCACAGCTCAAAGGCATCAATTCTCTTCTATCCTCCCTAGTCATTGTCCAACTCTCTGATGCATAACAAGTGATAGCGAAGACCATGGCCTGTATCAGATGCACCTTAGTCTCCAGAGAGACACCATTGCTCTTCAGTACTTTGGAGAGGTCCCTAACAGCAGACTTTCCCATGGCAATGCACCTTTTAATTTCCTGGCTACTGGTGCCGAGAGTGTTAACTGTGGAGCCAAGCAAACTAAAGCTGTGGACAATCTCAATCTCTTCACCATCCATCCTGATGCTGCCAATTGGTCCAGTGGTGAGAATCTTTGTCTTCTTGACATTGAGCCTCAATCCATATTGGAGACTGCAGTCCTTGACCCTCAACAGCAAGCGCTTCAGGTCCTCCTCAGTTTCAGCAAGCACGGTTGTGTCATCTGCATAACGCAGGTTGTTGGTGA